TGTTCCGAACGACCTTGGCAAGTGAGGGGAGACGAGTTTAAATATCATGCGAATCTGCGTTTAACAAACCTATGAATCTGCTGACCTATTATTTCTCTGTCGGTTCATTTTCCCATGATCTTCGCCATCTCTCATGGCTTATCCACAAACCAGGAACCCACTCTTTAGTAGCTCTCATAATCTTCGAGAACACTCTCCACAACGGTAAAATTTTCATATTCTGTCTTTCTCTTCTCCTTTCAAAACGAAGCGGATGAGATTTTTCAATTCTATGCTTGTCATCTTCTGGGATTGTTTGATTTCTTCTAAAGTTTTACGTTTTATCGCTCGCTGCGTGCTTTTGCAGAGCTGATCAGGAGTTTGCATGTGTACGGATTGGAAGATGGGAAAGAAAAGCTGGTGGAGAGAGAGTATTTGTTCAGAGAGGAAGGCTGTTATAAGGAAATGGCAGCCACCCCAGTAATCAGCTTGCATGGATTGCGGGTTCCTGAACTGTCTGAAGGGAGAGTAATGGGTTCGTGGCTGTGCATTTTCGCATTTCATGCGCACCGTCTTTCTCCTTCCTTCCGTATTCCATCTATACTCTCGATTTCCAGGTATCCCTTCGAAAGAATTCCTTTTGTTTATAAATAGATTTGTGTTTTTCAAAGTTGTTTTCCTAATTTGAGGTAACCATCTGATAGATTAACTGATTTGGTGAAGTGGGTTTGTTTTATAATTTCGTCTGGGTGACAATACTCTTTGACATGGAAGTGCCAACTTCAAGTGTCCTTTCTTTGTTCCCCTAAAATTCAACACTTTTAATTTTAATTTTTATTTTTATTATCATATCCATAATCGACTAGGGTGACGCATGCGATTAAAACATTGTATAACATTTTTCAGGCTGCAAGATTTCTGATGTCATTCTTCAGTAGCTTTTTATCACTAACATTTTGCTTATCAATTATATTACCCTTGTAGAACAATGTACTTCAAATAAAGAAAATCTCTCTGTGGGTGCTGGTAGATTCTAACATATGGTGGTATGATGATAGCTAGAGTTGTCAGGGAATTGCTTGATTGAGGTGTTATTGACTTACTGACAATACCACTCATGCAAGCATTTACATGGTGATTGAACATAGTAAAATGAGAAATTGAAGGATTTCGTTGAGATCGTTTGTTTGGAAATTTCCTGAAAAGCTAATCATAAGTTCTTTTCTCCATCTAGAGTGATGCCAATTTATTACTTCTTCATACTTGGTCGATGTGGCATTAATATTCCCTGACAGGTACTTTGCTTCAATTACTAGCTCTGTATTCTAGGAGTAGATAAACCATTTTAAGTCTCGCTACCTACGGGGTTCAGTGAAACGGTCTTAGAGTTCAATCCTTTAGATGGTTGCTCTGAATGTCAAACCAGTATATGAAGCTTTTTGGAAGAAATTGAATCAGTCCGCCTTTAATCTGGACCTGAAGATGCTCCATGTACTTCGAATGAGCACTGAAACTAATTGATACAATCCAACAAGGTAGTTTTTAGGACCATTGCAAACTAGACCATCCATTTAAAAACAACATGGTAACATAATTCATGGGTGGTAGTCTATATGGTAATTTATTTGTTGTTCTTGGATTTCCCTCTTGCTCTTTATACATGTGCTTGTTACTCATAAGGATCAATATTGCAGCAGCGGGTGTGCTACCTACAGTTCCGAATTTTGAGTTTATTGAAATTTGATGTTCGGTTCTTCTAAATATGTCATAACCTTGTTTTCTTATCATATAGAAATCCCAAGCTGAAATCAATCCCAACATTGACGATGGATCTCCAGGTGGCTTTAGTTTTGATCTCAGCAACAGAAGACAAAGAACAGGCACAGGAACTGTCTGATGGAGATAGAGCTAATCACCATGGAGGAAGAGTAAAGCGCCCTGTATTTGAACTAGATCTGAACTGTTTACCTGATTGCATTTCTGCAGATGAATTATCTGAAGATCAGCAAACTGAACAGAGTGAGCCAGGTCTTTCTCCAAGCTTTCTCTATTTGATTGTCACTAAAAGGTTTTACAACACTGCTAATTCATGTTCATCTATATTTTATAGTTAAGTACTTGGGATTTGGGATATGAATATTTTTCTCAGACATGAACTTGCAAGTCTGCACCTTGACACAGCCCAAAATTAACTTTGAGGACAAAGTTATCCAGGCTGCTTATGGAAGTAAAGAAAATCCTCGATGGCCTCTTCAATTCAGCTTCATTTCAAAATTCTATCTTATTCGTTCATTCACTACTAGAATAATCTTGATAGGTAGAATTGTACATAATACTTAACCTATCCTATTCAAGCAATAACAGCCAGAAATACGAAAGATGTTATGTTCGTGGGAAATGTTTGTTTGTCCATCAAGGGTTTTGTTGGAAATATCCGTATCTAGAATTGTCATAAAAGCTGGATAAGTGTGCATATTTATTTTTGTTTGATATCAAGATTTTTATGCTTTAATTAAGTACGAAATCTTAGAGACGGGTGAAATTGCAGGTGCTTTGTCGAAAAAGAAAACGAGGGCAAAATCTAAGGACATATCCAGAATTGGTTTGGAAGATCTTACCAAATACTTTGATCTTCCAATTGCAGAAGCTTCTAAAAAATTGAAGGTTGGACTCACAGTTCTGAAGAGAAAGTGCAGGGAATTTGGTATTCCTCGCTGGCCACATAGGAAAATCAAATCCCTTGATGGTCTTATCCGTGATCTTCAGGTGCTTTTTCTTCTTCCTCTTGCACCATCCTAAGATTTTTTGTTGAAACTGCATCAATATTCTGTCTTAACACTAGGAAATAAATCTTCTAGAAAGATTTATTTCTTAAACAAAGGATCTATTTCCTAATGTTTAAGATAGAATGTTGAGGGATTTTCCAAATTTTCACGTAAACTGAAAAATTAGTTAAAGAACCGATTTTCCAAATATTTTTATGCCCTTATTTACTCACATTTACTTTTGCGGAAAAAAAAGATGCTTCCTGCATGTGTTTTGAAACTGGTGGGTGGCAGATGATCACACACCTCTTCCAACCATGAAGAGAATAAATTTGACTGTCATTTAGTCACCAAACTAGAATTAGTCATTTTACAACATGCATTCCTACCTCAGCTCCTGAACTAAATTCGTTTAATCACCGAAAATCCTGAAATTACCTTCTCTTATTCATTATGAATAGTTATTGTCTGAATTAGACGTAGTCAAGCTGCCATCATAATATGTTATCTTTTCATTTAAATGTGAAAATATGCACGGTTGTTTATAGAGGAGTTTCTGCAGGAAGAGGCAACATACCAGCAAGAAAAGAGCGAGGCTGCAGCCATGGCAGTGACAAAAAGGCAAAAGATGCTGGAGAAAGAAAAAGAAACTATAGAGAGGAAACCCTTCATGGAGATCCAGACTGAGACAAAGAAGTTCAGACAGGATATTTTCAAGAGGAGGCACAAAGCTAGAGCCCTTAAAAACCAGAGTTCATCAACATCCTCGAGTGTAGAGAACTAAATATACAAGTATACAGATGACATTTTCAAGGTAAAGCAAAGGGCTAGAGCTCTTTAAAGATACCCTTTTTGAGATTGCATAAACATCAATAATGCCATTTGTAGAGTTTCTGTATCTAATATTCACAGCAGCGCTTTGAAGAGTTGCTTTTAGTATTTCTGAAACCAGAAAATCCTCCATTTTTTAGATCTAAAGTTCACATTTTTTCCACACGCACCACAAACACACACATCCAATTTCGCTACAACGATTTTCTTACACTGTCTCTGATATTCACAAACTTGGATTTTGATAACACACTTAGTCTTGGCATATTTGAAGAGTAGCCAACCTATTAAAAGACCTTCATGGTGGCAGTCATTTCTCCATATTGCTTGTTGCTTTTCTCATTTTCTGTGTACTACGGTATTTCCTCCTCTTCTTTGATTACTTCTTCTCCTTTTTAACACTTTTTGGCCAGTTTCATTTGTCAAAACAAACCATGATGGAGTTGACGCTTTTTCTTTTGACATTCTTGCTAAGTCCACTTGCCTCACACAATCAAAGCCAATTGCTAGGTGCGCCAATAAAAAAAGGTCAACTTTTGTGCAGCACGAGAGAGCCCCTCTTGGGTCCTCCTCTCATGGGGCATTTTGCCATGCTCGAACTGGTACCAAACCCTCACCTTTCTACTCGTTTGATAAACCGAATGAGTAGCTATTGGCAATGATTGGTGGTTTGTGGAGTTGGGTCACTCTTCACTATTTTGATAAAAATTGGAAAAATGACACGTTCTCCACCATTTGTTTGTTTATCTTTTCAATTAGATTTTAATTTATTATAATTACTTTAATTAAATAAATTTAATTATTATAATATATTTATTTTACTCTAAAATAAAATTTAATCTAACTTTATCTTTACATTTAAGAGTTTAGTTAGTTTTGTATAAAAGAATCGTATTAATGTATGAATAATAAATTAAATTAGTTTGTATTCATTTAATTACAGTTTAGAGCAAAAAACACATGTACTTTTCCATACTTGTATCCAACACACACACATATATATATATATATATATATCATTATGGAACTTTACAAAAAATTGAAAGGTGTCAAATCAAAGTAAGATGGTTTTACCAAAAACTCAAAAAGTCATCTTTTGAAGCTTATCAAGTTGAGTGTACCTTTTCAAAGATCATGTTTTTGTTTTTGCTTTTTTAACAGCATAATGTAAATTCAAGCATTAATATTAAGAAGAAGAGAGTGCATGGAGTAAAAAGGTAGTAATTTTACAGACCACCCTTTACCCTTAAACCCTAATAAGTGGTTTGCTTTTCTTTTTTCTTGTATTTAAGAAGAAAATTTTCTTTCAATAAAAGCTGTTTCAACGTGAATAAATAAAGAAGTCAATTAAATTAGCATGACCTAATAATTTCGAATACCTTTAATATTTTTCTAGATAAAGCATGAAGTATAAAATTACGCAGTTTAAGAATGCATAAAATACGAATGTACAAAACATATGTTTATAACTACGAACATCATACATTAACATAATTATTTTAGAAAGTTGACTTCTGGATACGTGATTTGTTTAACTTAATAGTTTTAACGTTTTTTTGTTTAATAAAATACTGATTATAAAATTATATAATTTAAAAATTTATGAATATACAAAACCTATTTCTATAGTTAATATTATAAGATTAAATCATTATTTTAGCCTATGTACATAGTTATTATCCCTTGGGGAAAACTTTTGGCAACCAAATTCATGAGCAGAAGAGATGAAGAGGACAGTAAGGGTAAAAAAATTTCGAAATGAAAAACTTGAAAGGAGCTCAATCACATTAATAATTGCTCATGAGTGTTTCACTGTCATCAATCTATGGTTAAGTGAATGTGAAAAAACAATGATATTTCAGGAATGACATCAAAAGGAAATTCTAATTCACCACGAAACTCATCAACAAAATTCTGAAGAGAAAATCAGTGATCATTCCTTCCTTCACGTGTATAAATAGATTCCCAGATGACTATGGAGACGTGGGGTTGACTTCAGACGGTAGTGCTGTTCATGATAATTGTTTCTTCAGTGCAAATGAAAGCTAACAAATAATATATATTATTTATTAGTGAACAGAGAAGAGGAGATTTTTTAATTTTTAATTTGACTTTCTTGTTTTCTCCACTGTAAAGTTGTGAACAGAGTACCAGGTGGAAAACAAGAACGTAAATTCGTAGTAACAGCAAAGAAGGCTCGTCTAAAATTAAAAAGAAAAAAGTCCTCACTTTCAAAAAGGTTTATTTTTTCGTTGTTATCTTTTATTTTATTTTATTTTATTTTTTTGTTTTTCATCTTCAACCAAAGCCTTAAATACTGGTGCCTTGCTGTCTCCCTGAATATGGTTTTCTTCATCTCTTGGACTGGGAAGAGAATCAGGAGCTGAAAATGGGTAATTGCTGGGGATTTCCCTCTGATCAACGTAGCCCAAGTAAGAATACCGCATATCCTCCTGCCTCAACTCCAGGTAACTCTTTCTGGGTCTTAAAAACTTCTTCTTTGTTTTCCCAATGAAGAGAAAATGGTTTGTTTTTGCTGTGCTTCTCTTTCATCATCTTGACTTTGAAACTTTTTTTTATCAGTCTGGATTCCTTGTTTTTACCTTTTTTTTGCAGTCATCTTTCATGATTTTTACACAGGACAGTTACAAAAGTCAGCTCCTTTCTCTTTTGATTCTGCTGCAGGAGATCCAAAATCTGAACTTTTTGTCACTAAAACTCGTTTTGTATGTGCAGTAGGGAAATCGAATAATATCAGCGACAACATAGATTTGTTCTCTCCAACAACAGCAAGCAACAGCAGCTTCGGCAAGAGTCAATTATCAGAGGCGGTGAGTGAAAGGCTGGATGAGACGAATCCCAGTGGAAAAATTTTGGAGACCCCAAATCTCAAAGTCTTCAGCTTTGCTGATTTAAGGAGCGCAACCAAGAACTTCAAGTCAGATACTCTTCTGGGTGAGGGTGGTTTTGGTAAAGTTTACAAGGGTTGGATGGATACCAGGACTCTTGTTCCTTCAAAGATTGGCTCTGGTATGGTTGTTGCTATCAAGAAATTGAACTCTGAAAGCATGCAAGGATTTCAAGAATGGCAGGTAATTTTTTTTGTTTTTTTTTTATAATTTTCAACTGTATTTTTCTCCTTATCCGCCATGATTGAACTTGTTAAACTCTTAATTCCATTAAGACAAACAGAATTGAATTCAACGCTGTTGTGTAACCGTCAATGATGGACTTGTTTAACATTTAATTTTTGTCTGTTTGTTTATGAAGTAGGCAGATCCCAAAGACCAAAAAATTATATGTAAGGTATAAAATAATTTTGAAAATTGAGAATGGTAAGAATAAAGATAAAATAATTTTCAACTTGTGGATTCAATCATTTGGATTTTCAAATTGTTGATTGGAGCATGCTATGGGTCCCAAATTGCAATAATTGACTTTCTTTTCATTTTGACCAGAAGTATTGGCAAAAAGTTTTTTTTTTTTATCCAATCTGAATAAAATAACAAGATTATTTATTGAATATGGTTAATGACTGGAATTGGCAATTTGGCAGCATCCCAAGATGTAGGAAACCAAAAATTACAGAAATGGTTGTGAGTTTAGGCTGTGAAAAATGGTCTTGAAATGATTTGGTTTGTTTTTGCAGTCAGAGGTGAACTTTTTAGGAAGGCTTTCCCATCCTAATTTGGTTAAGTTGTTGGGTTACTGCTGGGAGGATAAAGAGCTGCTCCTTGTGTATGAGTTCATGCCTAAAGGAAGCTTGGAAAATCATCTTTTTCGACGTAAGAGTTTTGGGAAATTAACTTAACACAAAAATAGTTAGCTGTGGATGACTATGTATATAAATATGGTCCTCTGTTTGTGCAGGAAACCCAGCTATTGAACCTCTATCTTGGGAAATACGGCTTAAGATTGCCATTGGAGCAGCTCGAGGACTTGCTTTTCTACATACTTCAGAAAAGCAGGTCATTTACAGAGATTTCAAGGCCTCAAATATACTGCTTGATGCGGTTAGTTTCTGTTTGTTCTTTGTCTTTTCGTTATTGAGTTATACATGCACTTTTTGTCTTTGGGGAATTGCAGAACAGAAAGCTAAACTAACTAGGAAAAAGAGAATGAGAGCTGAATCCTTGTTCTATATTTAATCTTTCGCGTGGATTGACTAATCCCACATTGATCAAGCACGAGTATCTAATTTTATGGCTAGAATCTAATAAATCAGTTTAGTGTCTGTCTTCAAATCTATAATAACTTACACCCAGCTTGTACCGCCTATTGGAAATCATAATACTCGTAGAGGACTAATTATAATTCCTCGTGTTTAAGTAACAAAAAGAAAAAGTCAATTCATCGTTGCAAGCTGGTTGGATTATTGTTTTAGCACTCATTATATTCAATTGAAAAATTTTCAATACAGAACTATAATGCGAAGATATCAGATTTTGGCTTGGCAAAATTAGGACCATCTGGTGGAGACTCACACGTGACAACCAGAATTATGGGCACATATGGTTATGCTGCTCCGGAATATGTTGCCACAGGTTAGAACAGAGAGCTTGTTAATGAAGAACCAAGATGAGATATATTTTGTTTCCGAAAATTTGTTCTTGTGATTAATATTGAACTGCAAAAGATCATTCATAAATAGCTGACATATTACTTGACCATTGCAAAAACAGGTCATCTTTATGTGAAGAGCGATGTGTATGGTTTTGGTGTTGTGCTGCTCGAGATGATGACAGGCTTACGAGCGCTGGACAACAGGCGTCCAAACGGTCAACAAAATCTGGTGGAGTGGATGAAGCCGATTCTGTCGCATAGAAGAAAGCTGAAAGTCATAATGGATGCAAAAATAGAAGGACAATATTCATCAAAGGCTGCATGGCAGGCTGCTCAGCTTACCCTGAAATGTCTAGAGGGGGAACCTAGAAGCCGCCCCTCCATGAACGAAGTGGTCGAGGTGTTAGAACAGATCGAGGCCATGGACAAATTGAAGTTCAAGTCTTTGCAGCCTACGATAGATCGCCGTGCCCAGCAGCAAAACAGTAATCATCGTTCGGCCCTTCAATCGAAGGCAACTGCACAAAGGACCAGGAGCTACCCTCAATGATACATACAGAAAGTGAAGTAAAATATGCACAAAGATGAATTCAACAACAAGAAATCAAATTTTTTTCACAGGTTGCGAGTAAAAATCACCAATTTTTTTTTTTTTTTTTGGGTCAATGATTCCTTTAAAATTTTTCACAAATTTTGGCATATTACTTTTTGCCAATGTTTGTGCTTGTTGAGTCGAGAAGAAATTCTGTTGTAGAACTAGAGCTTACATTGTTTTTTTGGGTGGTCATAAATCTTAACTAAATGTAGATTAATTAAAAAAAAAAAAAAACATTTGTAGAAATGTCATTTAATTAGAAATTGTGTTTATTACTGAATTAAGTATGAACTCTCTCTAAATAATTTACATAGAAAGAAAATTCTTGGAATAATTAAAGAAATATTTTTTGACATTTAGGAAAAGTAGTAATTTTTATTGCAAGTTTTCTGATTGGTAAATTGATAATTCTCATAATTTCCAAGCATATCCAGGTTTTAATATGTAAACTGTATTTAAATATGAATTAGTGCACACGTAGTGTATTTATATATATATATATATATATAAGCTAAATATTTATTAAAAAAGAAAGGTAGGAGACATCTTACACAACATGGAGTATATTTACAAGAGGATGAGCCAGCAAATTACAATCCAATCAACAGAAATAAAATCAAAATCAAAATCATAAGAATAAAAAATTAAAATCTTCAAGCTTTAAAAATTGTTTTCTTTGAATATTAACAAACATATAATAAAAATAAAATTTAATTTTAGTTAATTATAAACTATATATTATATAATGAAGTTTTAAAATTATGACAGATGGAGCCCAATATTATTAGCTCAATGGACTTTTCCCGCGACTAAATTTTCGTTGCCATTGATTCTCTGCCAGCGCCTGGCTTCTCCTCTTCTTCCTCAATTCACCACCAACTCGTACATATTCCTTGTCTCTTTCTTACTACTCTTCTCTTCAAGCTTCTTCAGTATTTCTCTCTTACGCAACCATTAATTGTTGCTTACAATTGGGCTTACGCGAGTATTATTATATTGTTAATCATTGAACTGATGCTGAATATAAAACCGGTGGAAGTATCTGTTTTGCTTTCAGTCAAGGTAGGGATCGACGTTGATTTTTATTTCATCACCGTTGCCTGATCATCGCGGGTTTAGAAGTTCTCCGCGGAGTTCCTATCTTCATTAACGTACGAGTTTTTCGTTCATGCATGCACTTTTTCTGCTTTTTTTTTTCTTTTTGCATATTGTTAATTGTTTTTCAATCTTAATATATGAAATCTTTGACTGTTATTTTTCTGGTTTGGTGGTTGCTCAATTTTCTTTTTTTAATATGAACGAAATGAAATTTTGAATTTCGATTATGAGAGAGGAAAAAGTTTGTTTTTCAGTTTGATCGAGCATTCAATCTGTGTTAAACAAGAAATTGGCTGGAATGAGGATTTGTTGTGCGAGTTGAGTCAACTCTGATGACCTCTTAACTGTTCGTTAACCGTACGTCTGCATGATTTTGATCGTCAAGTGGGTTTCTTTATGTTTTATTCTTTTTGCATGTCGTTCCTTTTTAGAAAAACCTATTGTTTCATATTGGTCAATCACTAAGTTTTAGTTAATCTTTATCAAATAGATTTGAGAAATTTATACGTTTGCATGTTCCGATTGTTGCTCCCCATGAAGTATACGCTTCTAGTACTGTCCTTTACATACAGCATCGTTCTGCATTTTAGTTGGAAGCTACTAACGAAATTATGTGTTCTCTGGTCACTTTTTGCATTTGTTGTCCTGATGGTATTTTATAGAAGCCAGAGGCAATTAAGTTCTATGTTTCTCCCTCATTTTGAACAGGCCAGTTCAACGATGGATGTTCATGATTTAAATAAAATGAGAGAATATGGTAGTAATAGAGCAATTCAATTGCTCGCAAGTCTGTGTAGCTTTTCAAGGAGATGCATATTTCGTGTACTTTCTACGGGTCCTATCCCCAACCATCTTGCCTTTATCATGGATGGAAATAGGAGGTATGCAAAAAACCGAAGCCTAAAAGAAGGGGCTGGACATACGGCTGGGTTTTTGGCACTCATGAGCATTCTTAATTATTGCTATGAGTTGGGGGTAAAGTACATAACTGTTTATGCCTTTAGCATTGATAATTTTAAAAGGCGGCCCGAGGAGGTTCATTCCCTGGTAGATATGATTTTGGAGAAGATTCAAGAATTGCTCAAAGAAGACAGTATTGTTAAGAAGTATGGTGTCAGGGTGTATTTTATAGGTAACTTGAAACTTCTGAATGATCCTGTCAGAGCCACTGCAGAAAAGTTGATGAGGACCACTTCCAACAACACTAGGACTGTGCTTCTAGTCTGCTTGGCCTATACTTCATCCAATGAGATTGTAAATGCTATTCAGGAATCTTGCAGAGATAAACAGGACAAAATCCAAGCATTGAGCCCCAAAAAATATTGCAATGGTGTGACCATGCCTGGCATTCAAGTGTCCTACCATGATTTGCCGGTTGCATCTCAAGCACTAGATGGAAGTAGAGATAGTGATTCTTTGACTGAAGGAGGTAAACTGATTGAGAAGAATGATGGTGAGATTTTGCAAACTTTAAAAGAAAGATATGAAGATGAAAGTGGTGAAGTTCAGGAACCAAATGCTATAGATGATGCCAATGGTAAGACTAGAGGGTTTGAAGATGTTAAGAAGCAGGAACATCCTCTGATAAATATGGTAGACATTGAGAAGCACATGTACATGGCAGTGGCACCTAATCCCGATGTGCTTCTCCGAAGTTCTGGAGAGACCCGCTTGAGCAATTTCCTATTATGGCAGTCTAGCAACTGCCCACTGTATGCTCCTTCTGCATTGTGGCCTGAGATTGGTCTATGGCATCTGATACGGATGGTATTAATCTTCCAACGTAACTATTCTTATTTGGAGAAGAAGAAGAAGCAAATTTGATATCTACAGCACCATAGGACAATCTTGCACATAATGGATCATGACATGGAGCATGTGATGCATTCTACTCACTCTAGACCATTGATGCTCCCTTCCGTCTATAATAATAGTTTGGTTGGAGTTGCTTTAGACTTTCGTAGGTCAAGCAATGAGATATTCACGGGTGATTCTTCCCTCCATCATCTCCTTTCGAGCTGGGTTTAGCAGGGTAGCTTCTCTTCTAACCTTGTCAACGTGGATGAAAATTATTGAATTTAAGGATTCTGACACCAGACCTAGCAACTCATTAGTCATATTTTTCTGTTTCAGCTCATGACATTGTCTCTCAACTTATCTTTTGTATATTGTATCACGTTTTTATCGGTAATGTCTCAAATTGTCATGAAGTTCTTTGTTTTATTGGAATACCGAGAATAATATCTGAGATTCAAGTTCTTTCTCTGTACCTAATACGTATTTGTTCATATGGAAAATACACGATATTATCTAGTAGAAAATGATGATGAAAAGAATTACCTGGTTATGAACGCTTATTACATTAGCTTACTGCTATAGAACATACATGATACTCACCTGCACTGAATGATGACCGCGGGAGAATAGAATTGTTTGTGTCTATTCTTGAATTAGGAGGCCCTGTATGTACATATTCTCAGAGTAATAAAAGAAAACTTACAGTTAATTACATGCAGGAGTTTTTTATTAATATACATTTTACTGTAATTGCACAAAATATATATTTTTCATTATTTCTCCTCCCCAACTGGTGGGTTAAGATATTGTTTATTCATAACTTGCAATAATTTTCTGTATTACTTAATTCCTTAGTCGACATATTTGGAGATTGTGAGTTGGTGGGCATATAAAGGTACATATTATGTTATTGTCTAGCTTTTCTTCGGTAGAATGTATACCAATTTTATTGTGAGCAATATTGATCCCTAACTTGTTGTCACAAGAGAGCCTCATAAGATCATCTCATTTAATTTTTAGTTCTTCCATAATTTTCTTTGACTATAATACCTCACGTACTCTTTGTGTTATTGTCCAAAATTTTGATTCTACGCTAAAATTTGTTATCATATTTTGTTATTTGTTTTTACATACGGATTTTCTCTCATAAAAATATAATATTTAGTTATAAAACTTATATTTACTAATGATCTCACATAATCTGTATTGATGTAAATATGATAAAAATATTAGACAATGTACTGAGAATAGACGTTGCATTTTAACTCATAAGAAAATTTTTTGTGAGATGGAAAAAATTTATCAAATGACACAAAGTTTTGAAATCGGATAAAATGGATGTTTAATACAATCCTTAATCTATTTTCTGAATGCAATAGGTATATCTATATAAGAAGATAATAAAACTCACAAAAATTATCTCATTCCTATCACTCCATTTAGATATTTGAATTTGTTTTAGTTCAAGATCCGAAATTTTCCTCATCGAGCCTATCTAATTGAATCATGGGTCCTGTATGGTTACCGGTTTAGGTTCATTTTCCAGATTTTAGTATCCCTAGGTTGCATTTTCTAAGTTTGGGAGCAACTGAGCTTGATAAGGTATAAGAGAAGTTGTAGTGTTTGATAGTGAGGAAAATAGTGGAATGTTTAACATGAATAAATCCTTATATTTTAATACAACACTACCTTAAAAATAAGACTGATTGAAGGATTCTATTTTGATAAATATAACATCTGCAAATATATAAATTTTTTTTTTATATAAGAGCGATGACATTGTACGGATAAGTATCCCACAAACACACATTTGAAGTATCTCGAGCCAAGTCTTATCCTTTGATATTGATGTATGTGAATATAAACACCAAGAATTAAAGACTTTAGGGATGAGCTGATTTATGACCCTTACTCGAAAGCTCCAATACTTTTAGTTGGCAAAGTGTTAGTAAGATAAGGTGACAATTAAAATTGCCTCCTCCAACAATGTTTAGGTAGTTGGGGAAGGCACATTTTATTTTTCTTTTTTGCCACTTTGTTTGGTTATGGAGTATGAACATAGGAAGACTCATGAATATTTCCTTCATAAAGGGGAAAAAAGAAAATGATAATATTTGAGTGAAATAATATTACAAATTGTGAGTGCATAAATATTTTATTACTATATAAAATTAATAATAAAATATTACTCCAAATTCGTTAACATTTTCGTTATAAAAATACACATATTTTTATGTTCTTTGTGTTATTATTGTTTTTATATAAGAATAATAAATTATTTAGCGTGATAATTTATATATAAAAAAAAAATTTTGTTTGTAAAATAAATTATATACATCTAAATACTTAATTTATAAATATATTATATAAGTCAAATTCATAACTTAATATTTAAGATATGATAACATGATATTAAAAATATTAAAATTAAACATTTTTATCAAATTTCTTTATATAAAAGTTAATTTAAATTTAGAATTTTTAGCTTTTTAATTTCTAATTAATTTTTTTAAAAAAAAAATTGTAATTGGCACTAGCCATTATTACTATTGTGTAAAAAAATTAATATTTTTTTATATCATATTATCACAATCACTATATAGTCTCATGCACCATTCGCTTGCAAACAAACATAAATTGTGACTCCCAAGTTAATTGCAAAAAGAAATTGACAAATTTAAGAGAGTAAGTATGATTTTCTAGAGGAAATACAGAGTATTTTCAACTACCACCTAATTATCTATATATATATATATAGTATTTCATAACATAAAATAAAAAAATAAAATAAATTTAATTCATTAATATATTAATTAAATTATAGTAAATAAGTCTCAGAGAATATTATATTTTTAAATAAAAAATATTTTGTAATTATTAAATTTTATTAATTATGATAATTATAACCAGTTAAACGAACTTAATTTAGTCTCTTTTTTTATCATAATATCTGTAATAGCATTAATTAATTTTAATATATTTAAAATTAATGTTTAAATATAATTTTTAAAATTTTAATTTATTTAATATAAAAATGAAAAAAATAGATGGGTAATGAAATTAAAAATAATTTAAAAAAAAGGTGAAATTTTGGGTACTGGAAGTGTTTTTGAAAAAAAAAATCAAAAACTAGGGGGGTCAAAATACAATTTAGGAAAATTGTGCCACGTAGAACGCTCAGTCAGCAGCCCTGACGAACTATTACGCACCGCATGGCAAGGCACGCTAACGCAGTGCCACGCGGGAGGTCACATGGGCAATCCGCATGCTCGCGATCGGACAGTCTGGATTTATTCCTGCGGGCACGGATGGTCCGGATCCGTTTCCACTTTAAATGCGATTAGACGGTTCTGATCAAATCGCGATGAACAATTCATATCTACTTCCTATTTAAATGCGATCGGACGGCTCAGATCAAATCGCGATGAACTGTTCAGATTCACTTCCTATTTAAACGCGACCGGACGGTACATATCAAACATGATGGACAACACAGATTAAAAGGAGACTGATATAAATAATCTTCTTCACATCAAATCCTAACCCTAGCCGCCAGACCCCCGCCGGAGAAGAAGAGCCAGTCGCCGGGAAGGGAGTCAATCGCTGCCTACCGTCGTGCCGGAGCCACTTCCGACCGCTAAAAGAGGTAAAAAATTTCTCATTCGCTTGAAATTCAATTTTGAACACCCCCATGGCTAAATCGGAGCAAAAGGACCGACAAATGAGCCAAAAATTACAGACAAAGTCCGGTGGCGCCATTGCAGAAAAAATAAAAATCGTCTTTGATGAGGCCCTTCTCGATTTTCATTTCGTGTAATTTTTCTACTATTGTAATCACCATTCCTTTCTCTACAGGTTAACCGAAGCAAAACACCCAACTGCGAAGGAGAGCTAGTGGAGGCGCCGCACCGGAAAACTCCGCTGCTGGTAAGTTTTAATTTTTTAACTTTTTTCAGCCAACCGAGACCCTTTAACGTATTTTCTCACAAGTAAGGGTACAAAACCGGATAAAATTGACCGAAAACGCCCAACCTGAGGCAAACTGTCGCAGCGGACGGCAGTGCCGCCGTGCCGGAATTCTGAAATTGGCAAAAAAGGGTTTCTAACACTAATTTTGAATTTTTTTGGGTATTTTTAGGTACTTGAAGCATGTTTTAATCTCTGAAAAAAAGTTCAGGGAATCCAAGGATCGTCAGTAGGCGCAGCTGAAAGTTTAGTATTTCAGACATCAATTTGAGTAAGAATCCCTCACCCTATTTCTTGTTATGGAATTAAAGTTTAATTATAAATAAAGTGGTTTTTTATACAAATTAGAAAATATCCATAATTAATTACATGTTACTAATTGAGGCAGAATCGGTTATTTATTACTGCTTGCTATGTTTAACTGATTGATTGATTTTACAGTTTGAATACATGATAATACACAGGAATTGGTATGATAACTTAATTGTGATTTCTTGATGCATGTATTGCATGTTTTACGTGATTTACAGTTAAAATTGAGAAACTGAAAATTAAAGGTAAATGAGAGATTGTTTGATCAAGTGAAATGATGAATGGTAGCCTTACTGGATATTCTAAGAGATTGTAGATGAACTGGGTACATAGGAAACCTACTGTGAACGTTGTCTTATATCGGACAGGGTATCGATGATTGGTAATTTGGCACTCATACCGGACTATGGTATGGGATGACCCCTTTTATCCTTTACAAGACAGGGTATTGAGGAATGATATCTCTTGGCACTCATACCGGACGAGGTATGGGGACGGTCCGTTAGTTAAAAATGTTAAAAAAGAGTTCAGCATAGTGAGGACATCCCTATGAACCCCTATAGATACCAGTAGGCTGATAAATGAGAAAGTTATTGTTTCGACTGATTGAATATGAAATTATGATATTATTATGTTATTGACTCTATAGATTGATTTTGGAAATCTCATTATGGTAAGCATGTGGTAAATGATTTTATTTATGATAAACGAATTTTACTTAAATTAAGAACTCCATTAGTTATTTTTATAATTT